CATGAGAGCTATGATGTCATAACACATTTTGACCAAAACTCCAATTGCCAAGGATGCCCATGCACTCATCAGGGCAGCCATTTCGTGAGAGCACTTACTACCTTTTTCTGCATATGAAATATACCCCTGGGCTTTACTTATTTGGCCTTAAAGCACAGTCCTACACATATTTGCTCATAGATTACAGGGGGGCATTTTGTAAGCTTAATGCAGGCAGGAGTAGAGCCTAGCGAGCAACTTTTCCTTACTTCACCCAGCCTTACTCAGTGGTGGATCATTACATAATGTGTCCCCAACCACCATCATTAATAATATACTTGGGAGTGATATCTTCAATCTACTCATGACTCCTGATGAGTGGATTGTCACCCACGGCTTCAGGATTAATATAGAACTAGAACTCCCAGCCTCCCATTTCCTGACCTGGTGCCTTTTACTGCTACACCAAACTGGCTGTCAATCATGGTCCTCCTAATTATTATAGTTTCACCTTTTAATTTCATGTCCATTACAACGATGTCTGCATAGTGACAGCTGGGCTTTGTTTCTGGGGGTGCAGGATTTGTTGGTGCAGAGGGGGAAATCTTTAATCTCTTCTCCTTTTGTAGGTATGGCACTGAGAAGACTTCTGTTCCTTTTGGCAGGTTTGGCCCAAATGTGTGGTGAGTAAACTGGACTGCTTGATCTATACTTCTGTTGTTTCAACTGTGTGTATGGAATTTTGTGGTCTCTCTGTAGTTGCCTGCACATGGAGGGAAAGCTGAGCTTGGAACTATTTCTCCTCAAAATCATTTTAAAATTACTCTCCTTCTAGCACAATGATAACGAACCTATGACACTAATGTCAAAGGTGACACATCGCAACATTTTGGGTGACACGCCAATTCGCCAACCATAATTTATTTGAATTAAGATAAAAAAGATAAGAAAGATTCTTCTTCTTCTTCTTCTTCTTCTTCTTCTTCTTCTTCTTCTTCTTCTTCTTCTTCTTCTTCTTCTTCTTCTTCTTCTTCTCCTCCTCCTCCT